GTAACTGCTTTGACGTTCATACTGCAAGCACTCCTTCCGACACTGACCTTTGTGTGTGGCTAGTATCAGACGGCCAGTCCATGTCACGTTAACCAGTGCGCCTAATCTCATCCCCGATCGACTTCACTTGAGCAGGCGGAGAAAATGAGTTCAGCTGTGGCTTCTGAGTTTGTCATTTTGTGGGCCACATCTTCGTATACGAAGGCCGAAATGTTGGTTGGCCGTCTTTTTGAGAAGAAGCTGACGCGATCCCTGCAACAATGAATTTATGCGCCTGACAATTCGAATTCCCTCGTGCACCCATCGTCAAGTACAGTCGCAGCAATAGGTTTCTGACCGGTTTTATGAACGCAGTCTCGAGCAAGCCGGCCGGACATTTACCTCATGGCATATGTCCGAAGCTAGCAGCACTCTTTTTTTGGCTTTCCTTCCTCCGTATCCACCTTCCTCACCAGTATCCACGTGGGTGTTTTAAAACTTTCCAAAGGCCGTTCTAATGCTTGACTGATTTGTAACAAATTGTTTTTGCGGACGTAGTAATCTACACCTTGTTCCTTAGGAAAACGTTGAGCGTACAACCTTGCTTGAGGTCCTATTATATACTTTTAGTGTAAATGATGATTAGATCGTGAAGGCATCTTTAAAAACTATTTTGCTCCTTTCTTCCACTTCCTCTGAATCACACACGTGTCTATATATTCTCAATTATCGGCCGACGTTCTTCGTCAACGCAGCCCGGCTGCATCTTTTATGTGACTTATGCTGTCCAGAGATACAACGACATCTTTTGGAAAAGTAATGTTTTCGATTCCTCACAGGTGGCCACGCTTTTATTAAACCTCAATGCATAGGTCAGGATTTACTACCATTCCTGTTATTTCCGACCCAAGTGGCCGCCACTCCTGCTGTCATAAGAGTCTCTTTGAAACCCATACAATCATCACCTATGCTTAATCTGTCCTGTCTCCCCCATTTTTCAGATGTACCTTTTGCTGCTGGAACAGACCCTCTCCGGTCAAATGAACCGATCACTCAGACTTCTCCCGATGTTCATAACATTACTGTTGAAGAGGAGTCCACTACCCAACACTCCTACTACTCAGAGCAGGCCCAGGCAACTCCTGACTACGAAGAGCAGGAAGTAGATGTGGCTGTTTACTTGGCTGAAGCACACGAAAGTTCCGATGCACCTGTCTCGGAACCGCCTACCGAATCCTCAGTTCACTACTCCGAAGCGGTGGCTCACTTTACCCACGTACGTTTTCCTCTTGAGCGAAGCACGCGAGAAAACAACATATGTATCTACTTTGAATAAATAAGTAACACGTTTAATATCACGGCTTTGGAGCTGTGCCATCGCATACATGTGCAGTTTATTTTCCCAGAATTCAGTTAAAAGGGTCGTCTTTTTACCTTTAACGTGTGGTTGTCTTCTCCATGTTGCTTTCAAATCTACCAATTGTTCTTTCTGTCAACACAGCCAACCTTGCTTACTCCTTCTTTTCACCCTTAGGAGCGGATGGAGCCGTCGTGTGAGGGAGGAGACATTCCGAGCATAGGATTCGTCACTTCCTCCACCGTTGAGATCAACTCATCCATTCACACTCAACAACAGCAGCAAGAGGAGCTAGAAGTTGAGGACTATGAGGACCTGGGCGATGAAGAGGAGGCAGAAGAACCCCGACCCCATATTGCTGATGATGGAGAAGACGATTCGCAACAGATTGAGGGAGAGGATCAAGGTCGAGATGAAAATGAGGAGGATGACGATGGTGATGGAGAGGAGGAGGAAGAAGAAGAAGCCACTCACTCAGATAATGCCGTTATTATTCTGAGCAGTACGTTTTACTTCCACGAACGTGCCCTCCCCACAGTCCTGCACTTACACACCCAGGGTCCTCAACAGTTATAGGCTAAACATCCATTATCTTTCACTCTGTACCTTCTCCTTGTCCGATGCGCATTTGCAAATGCTCTACATTTGGTTTATTTTATCTGTTTTCGCAGGTGGTTCGGAGACGGAAGAGGAGGAAGAGGGTCATGACTCAGAAAGCGAGGGCGAGGGTGACGAGGAAGAAGAAGATGGTGATGATGAGGATGAGGGGGACAGAGAGAGGGAGGAAGGAGATTATGAGGAGGCGGACGAAGAAGGAGACGTGGATAATGAAGACGAGGAACACGAGGAAGAGGAGGAGGAAGAAGAAGAAGAGGGAGAACACCATGAGAGCAGTGAAGACGAAGGTGCGGGCGACGGTTACGAACTCGAACTTGAGAACCCCGAGTCCACTGACTACGAAACGGAGCATCCCCATGGTGATTCAGTCCTCGGGGCATCAGCGCCACCTGCGCCCTCCACTCCCATCTTGGCGCAGCAGGAAGCAACGCCTGCTCCAGGCGTCTCCTCTGCTACTGCTCACTCGTCGCTCTTTGGTGGCGCTGTTGCCAGCAGTAGTAGTAGTCTCTTCCCAACGTCGCAACCTACGGCTCCTGCGGTTCGTCCTGCGAGCGGCCTCTTTGCATCCGCCCTCTCCACTTCCGGCTCTCCGGCACCAACTTCCGGTGGTCTATTTGGCGGCCTGAGACCTTCAGCACTAACCATGCCAGCGACCCCCTCCACCAGCAGCACC